TGTGTGTGTATGCGTTTTTGTGACAAATGAGGACATAAATTTGTATAATGACAAAGGTATGACATAGGCATTACAAGGAGAAGGTTACTTTTCAGGACATTACCCCATGTCCCCACTTTTCAAAATGCTTATAAATCACACAGAATGGAGTGTATTGAAAATCTGAAATAGCACAAAGTCTCCTGTAAGGGGTAGGGTTAGGGGTAGGGTTGGTAAAGGGCAATAGAATATACGGTCTGTACAGTATAAAAACCATTACGCCTATGGGATGTCCCCACTTTTCACAAATGTAAACCTGTGTGTGTGTGTGTGTGTGTGTGTGTGCAGAGATGAGGGCCTCTGGGATTGATCGATCTGTTTGTGAAAGCTCATATGATGCTGACACAGTCCTGTCACTGACAGGCCAGCATCAGACTCTTTACCACACAGTGACACAGCCCAATGTGTGTCAGGCCAGGACATTAAAACTTCAATGTGTCAAAATCACACTCTAATAGAAAGAAACATCTGCATCTCTGTATTCCCATTACCATGAATGCATGCAAAATGAGTAATGGGAAACAATATGCATGTTATCTAAAAATATGAATGTTTTAAAAATGTTATATAATTAGAAATTATATAAATAAAATTGTGCACATATACACATATATGTAGTCATATATATATATATATATATATATATATATATATATATATACACACTCTTTTATATGTTTATATTTTTCATTCATATTGTAATTAATTATATTTATAATATAATATTATTAATTATATATTTTACATTTATTAAAAATTTAACATAAAAAACACTCAAACACAGCCTGAAATGTGACAGCTTGTCAGGTCTTCGACCTCTAGTATAGCCCATGTTCTGTAACACCTGGAAAAACTCTATATATGGCAGTGCATATTAATGCACTAGACCAAGACAGAGTATTAGGGGTTCTCCTGCTACACCTAAAGTGTAACTGTGCCACACACGCTCAGATTTAATTTGCGGGAAGTAGCGAGAGGCATTCTGTAAATTTCTCAATCCCCTGCAGATGTTCTATGCAGTATTACCTCATGACCTCTGCACAACGCAGCCAATCACAGATCGCGTATATATATATATATATATATATATATATATATATATATATATATATATATATATATATATATATATACACACTCTTTTATATGTTTATATTTTTCATTCATATTGTAATTAATTATATTTATAATATAATATTATTAATTATATATTTTACATTTATTAAAAATTTCACATAAAAAACACTCAAACACAGCCTGAAATGTGACAGCTTGTCAGGTCTTCGACCTCTAGTATAGCCCATGTTCTGTAACACCTGGAAAAACTCTATATATGGCAGTGCATATTAATGCACTAGACCAAGACAGAGCATTAGGGGTTCTCCTGCTACACCTAAAGTGTAACTGTGCCACACACGCTCAGATTTAATTTGCGGGAAGTAGCGAGAGGCATTCTGTAAATTTCTCAATCCCCTGCAGATGTTCTATGCAGTATTACCTCATGACCTCTGCACAACGCAGCCAATCCGCACAGGAGATTAAGTCCAGCTTCTCTGGTGCTAGAAAAATCTGTAACCTATTACACCCTCTGCTTGGGTCATTTATCAAAATTGGAGGAATATAGCAAAAATAGATGAGGCCAATTTACTCTCCCTGATTACCTATAAACATTATCAGTTTTCAATATGATTTAATTTGAGATACAAACACACACATTAGCAATGGTGAGGTTCTCTAGATAATTAGCCAGCAAGGCACTTTCATGCTCCGGAAGTGCTCTGCGTAAATGTTTGCTTTTATTGAGAATCATCACCACGACAGACCACATTAAACCAGTCTCAGATCAGCACTGAACGAGGCTGGGCTTCTCACCCTGGATCCTGAGTTGGTGTCCGCAGGGGATGAGGAGACGGCTACAGAGGACTCGCTGCTGGGAGGCCTCGGCTCTGGTGGTGGCTTGGACATGCGTATATTTGCCCTGCAAGAGTCAGAAATAAAAGACATGATCTCTACCAGGTATAAGGTGTGGTTACTAATACATGGTGAAATCAAGAGTGAAAAAGATAAATTTTTGTAATTTAATAACCAACAAAGTAAAGCAGAGCCTGGGGACAAGTTCCACAGAGAGGAAGAGACTTAGAAGCACTCAAGTAATGAGAAAGGAGGAGTAGTCAACAGACAATATCACCACCGAGCATACGCAACTCTAGTGAGTGCATTAGTCTCAGGTGACCTGGATATGGTAACAGTGACAACAAAACAAAAATCTATCTATCTATCTATCTATCTATCTATCTATCTATCTATCTATCTATCTATCTATCTGTCTATCTGTCTATTTGTCTATCCATACATTTTATTTATCTATCTGTCTATCCATCTATCAATGTATCTACATATTTATATATCTAAGTACCATCAATATCTACCTATACGGTACCTATCTATCTACTTACCTAGAGTATATCTACATGCGTACCTATCTTTATCTACCTACCTATCTATATCCACCTATAACTTGCTACCTACCTATCTATATCTGAATATACCTGAATATATCTACCTACATACTAGGGATGAGTGAGAACAGCTGACTAGTCGACTAAACAGAACTGTCGCTGCTAGTCGACATTGGTCAACAAATGCTAGTTATTTTAATGTTACTTTCTAAAAAAGACCATGTCACTCAATTTCTGCTCAGAAATGTCTGCTAGAAAGATAAGCAAAGTGTGTGTGTGTGGGAGCATATTTTCCGGTTTAAAAGGGGGAAACATTATGAATGAAAGGGAACTGATTTTCTTCAGAAAGATTTTGTTGACATTTTTCATGATATCTCCATATCCACCTTATTCTTCAATGTGGAAGTAAGCCTATGGGCGAGATTTCCGGTTCATTAGCCACTATAGGGAAATAATGAGAATAAGAACAACACGCGGTAAACGGCAAAACTGTTTGCACTACAATCCAGTGTGCTCATAATTAAGATAATACATTAAAAATAATATGGTAAGACACACCAATTTTCAATATCAAGCATCAAAACGAGCTGTTTTGTACAGCTAAAAATAGCTGGATGAGAATGAGACCGGAAGCCAGACCCATCAAATTTACAAATGGCCACGCCTGCTCTTATGGGAAAAATAAGGTGGATAATGCCAAATAAAATCAAAGTCCCTTTAAGGCAAGTCATTTCACTCAGGGGCCATCTTTGAAACTCTACTTGGGCATGCAAGTGCAGCTCCTATCTCTATGAATGCGGAAACATCAAATACTCCAAAACTGTTCGCCAAGCTTATGATTCAATTTCATATTAGAAATCACCAATGAAATCTGACAACAACTGTATCTCTATTGCTTTGTCTGTTATTACATATCGTTTGATATGTGCTATTATTTATGCAACTCTCTCATGTATCCACATGTGACAGTTAGCGGAAGCTAGAGATTACTGTTTATAAAGTTTTAATATATGGATATTTTTCTTACAAAAATGAATCAATACGCTTCAAGAGGTCTTTATTCACATCCTGGAGCCATGTGGGACACTTTTTATGATGGATGCGCTTTATTAGACTTCTTTTGGACTATTGAAAAATAACACCCACTCACTGCCATTATAAAGCTTGGAAGAGCCAGGACAATTTACAATATAACTCTGATTGGTTTCATTTGAAAGAAGTAAGTCATATACACCTAGGATGCCTTGAGGGTGAGTATTCATGGGGCAATTTTCATTTTTAGGTGAACTATCCCTTTAACTCAAATTCTCAGTTCCATGGGCATGTCCGGGAAACTCATAAATATTGATGTATGCTCTGCCCACTGAAACAGAAAATCTCAGAAACCAAAAATCGCATAACACCGGCCACTGACGTCACTGCCATTGTATGATTGGCTGAGGTGCCTCACGTGATCCAAGTTAGCCGTTACGCTTTTTCCGGTGGTAAGTAATACAGACCCTGTCATCTCCCAATAAAAAGACAATCTCCGTCTATAGTCTATAGCGCTGTTTTGTTTACAAGGGTAACCATGGTAACCACTGTTTCTCTGCTTGTCCATAAGCACCTCCTAATGTCAGAGAGTGAATTTGCATTTTCATTCAGCGAGTCTGCTGCTTTTGTTGCCATCAGTGTTGGTAATTTTAACGGTTTAATGGAAAATTAAAAATGTATCGCATATACACACAATGTTTTTTCTGAGGGTTCCTTTTAGACTAGTCAACTAGTCGGTTACAAAATTTGTGTTTAAACGACTTTGAAATTAGTCACAGCGCACATCCCTACTACATACCTACTGTGGTGGAAATGGCCAAATTTCACTGGGGGGGACTCTAGCTTGGAAAGGAGCGGGGGTAATTTTAGTTTTTTAGATGACCTTTCGGATGTATTTAATTATAAAACCCTTTATAATCTATAATAACATTAAACTTATTTCATATTTTCTCTAAACCACGTTGTGTGTGAATTTGCACATGTTATAATGTACTGTAAGTATCATTAATGATCCCTTGTGTTTAACAAAAAAAATTTAATTCAATGAAAGAATGATTTAATAAAAATGAGAATGATTAGTAATTGTCTCTAATTGGCCTGATTAGCTAAGCTCACAAAACAGTACAGTATTGTATTTGTAGATTATATTGAATAGTTTACACTTTGCATAAACATTTGCAATTAGTTTTTAAAAGGTAACATTACATTCTTCAGGACTCTACACTTACATTTCTTTATAGGAGCACTTGTGCTCCTACTTAAAAAATAAAATAAAAAAATAGGAACACCTTCTGATCAATAACAGAAATTAACCTTCCCATTATGAGGCGATAGTTGACTCTTTAAAGTGTAGTTTATCTTCGTAATGCAAGTTTTTTTTCTAACTTTATTAAATGTATGTCATCTTTTGTATAAAAAAATTATATTTATAAACTTTTATCAAAAATTTTAATTAAACAATAAATTCAATTAAAATAATAAGATACAATCAGGAAGAATAAGTTACCAGTCAAATGAAATCAGCATCAATAATTCATCTTTTCACTAGGAGGTGCACAGAAGAACACAAATTAAGGAATATTTACAGACTGTTAAATGAGACTCAGAGGTGGATGTATTTAAATTCATAATAACATTGTTATGAGATTAATGTTTTAAATATAGGCCTAAAGTTTTGAATATACAAAATATTATACTTTAAAAATTAAAATGAAACCGACAAATTGTCACTGAATCATTCATTCAATCGATTGAAGTCACACCACAGGTCACGGTCACTACACTCAGTCTGACTGCATGAGTCTAATGGTTCCACTGGAATTACAGTAAAGAGAGTACAAACACTCATATCAAAAGTAATGTTCGTTAAATAGGTGTTTAATAATAAATGATTAACCAAATGTTTGTGAAATGCCAGAGCCACGATCACTATAATACAAATGCCTTAATGCCAGGCTGCTTCCTGGAAGTATTTGGGTCCATTTTTCTTTCCTAATAAGGAGAACTGCATAAAATGCTGCATTGAGATTCAGGTCATGCTAATGTAACATTTTGGGTAAATCAACAGAGAGAAGAGCAGATGGCAGAGAGATGAGGGATAAGGGGAGAAATGGAGGACAGAAGAAAGGTGAAACAAACTGTCACAGCTGCCATTGCAGGCAACAAATAAAAAACTTCTTCCAAACACTGTCAGAGAGAAGTGTCAGACTCAGAGAGTGCAGGGAAGGTATAACCCAGAGTGAATGCCACAAGAGCCGCACCATTCAACCAAACATGTCACATTTCTAAATCTTCTTCAAGGAAATGACTAGGCATTTTGGACTGGTACCCAGGGAGTTATAATTCATTGGATAGATAGCTGACATTTCCCGTAAACATGTCAAATTAATTTGTTATTGGGTAAATCGTTTATACGATGGGCACTCTGAAAACAAAACACTATGAACAAATTCTGGGGGCAGACCTAGAATCAGAGCCAGACAGCACAGCCACAGAGTGCCTATAGTCTGTCTGATGCATATTACACACAAAACTGCAAAGCACTGGCTGAAATAACCTACTGCAATCAGATTGGCTGGCTCAAGGGTGCATTGGGTTTTTTTATCAGTGTGCCTGGAAACAAAGCTGTTTACAAGATACTAGACTGTTCACATCTCATTTCTCTTCCCTTCTTCTACCTTGTAAGCTCCAGCTCTGGTTTCAGCTTCATATACCACTAACAACTCATATGTGTTGCTGAGCAATACTGTACTGGTGGCACCAAATCTCTGCAAGATAAAAGTTTAGATTGAGGCACTCACTAGCAAGAACCATATTAATAATTAGAACCGTGTATCTGTTTTGGTGAGTCATAAAAATACAAACAGAATATACTGTAAAAATACAGGAGTTTTTATTACTTTCCAGATGGATTACAAATAATTTCCTGCTATTTTTAAAACAGTTCCTAAATGGCATGTAAAAACAAAACAGATTGCATTTAGTATCTTACATGCTAGTCAGACTGTCTCTTCCTGCTTAAGTGGGTGACTCTTGTCTTAGCTAGAATTAATAAGTGCACCAGACAGTCAAAAGTCTGGCTTTGCGAGACTAAGGCCTACAGTCAGTGAAATAAAAACAGCACCACTGGTACTCAAACATATAATTGAGTCTATAGAATGTAGAAGACTCTCAGAGGCCAACTACAAAAAGTAGTACGGGCATAATTGACCCAATGTGAGAGGATAAACTTTGGGGAAAGCTGTAATAGCATAATAAAACTGTAGCTGGCAGAATATGATCTATTCCACAGTATTTATTAAATTATTAGAATTGTGTATTATGTATAAGGTTTTTTCACCGTCTGCGGCTCTCTAGGACCGAACTTGCCTACCCCTGTTCTAGGCATTGATAAAGCCTTTGAATTTTTTTTGTATCTATCATCTGATTTGTGCCTGTCCACAACTTTATCCCGGAGATCTTTTGACAGTGTCTTGCCACCCATAGT